TTGTAGAGAGAGTGAAAAAAGAAGACAAATGTACGAGTATTTTCTACTTAGATTTATATTTGTTTCAGTGAATGTTCAAATTAGAGATTGACTTTTGATCTGAATCATTGACTTTGATCTATCTTTCAAGGTGCTTGGGACGAGCATCTTTCGAGTGCACAGAGGGATATGCGCTAAACTTAAGTCCACGAGGAGTAACCGAAAAAGTTGTTAGATAATTGTATACGACATGTGTCAGAAAGAGTCTTTGCTGTAAATTCTTGTTATATTTGTTGAACACTTTTCGAGGGAGAGTGAGATGCTCTCCGAAAAGTTTATGTGTGAACTGTTTTCGCAACTGAGTTAACATTAATTATTTACTGTTTAAGCGCAATTCTTTATTGCCCCAAAATTTCAAGCATTGTCTCCGTACTTAATTAATAAACTATATTATTAATGTAAATACTATTTTAAAAATCACATAGAGTGTCTTTTTATCGTCCGCTTAGACCTTCTCCAACCGAACGCCATATCTCATTTTTTGCAGCAAAATTGCTCCACCCGAACTCCATATCCGATCGCAAAATGCGTTACCCCTCTTCTCTCTCCTCAGTTTGCTGCAAATTTGCATCCAGACGCATTCTAATGCGTTCAATCTTTTTTTATTTCAATTTGGTCCTTCAATTTTATTTCTTATTTATAATTGACCTTATCATTTAAAAAATTAATAATTCAACTTATTTTTAATTTGATTTAGAATGCTAAGATAATATGAATTGGATAAATAATTTAAAACATACTATTTTTTTTTAATTTCATTAAAATAATAAATAACATATTATTTTATGTTTGTTCACAATAGTGGTGTAAATATACATATTAATTTTATATTTTTTCACAAATGATGTAAAATACTAAAAAATCTTGATTTCATAAAACTTAAATAGTACTATTTTTAATATAATAAATATTATGTTTATATTTTCACTCTGTATATTTCACAATAATAATAAAAATATACATACAATTTAAGATATTTTATTTAATAAAGAAAAACAAACACTAGCATTAAATAACAACAACATTACAAATACATATTGAAATAACACTAATACATGATACATCACGGTTTAAAGAAAAACATTTCAATAACTAGTGCTGAAATAAAAATACGAGATCACACGGTACTAAAATAAAATACATCATAAACCATAAATTAAAAACATGCACGAATACTTAGTAATCTGACAAGTTGGCACCACTTCCTCCAAGATCATTGAAAAATTGGCCAAATGTATTGGTCGGATATGGATCCGGTTGGGCTTGTTGAGCTCTTTTCTCCAAGATTCGTGCCTTTTCAGCTTCAATGTATGCTCGAACTCTAGGATCTTCAATGGAACTGACATCTTGAAACAGAATTTTATTTTCTTCCCTCATTTCTTTTAAAGCGAGGGATCTATTGTGCATCTCCATTTGATGTTTTATTTGGTCGTTTGCATTTTTCATCTCCTCAACAAGTCTTTTGTTTGCTTCTTTCATCGCATTGATGAGCGATGATAAATCATCATTTACCTTTCTTTTTAGTTTGGCTTTCTTGACCCCGATAGGTCTTTCAGATGGAGAACCAGTAGCACATTGATCTGAGTCGCTTATATTTATAGAAAATGAAGAAATACCTTCAGATTCTTGTCGGGCAGACTCGGGAGTTGGATTTTCTGACTCCGAAGATGGATAACAACCAGACTGTTTTTTCTTGCTCCTCGAAGCTCCATCTTTAAATTTTTCAAAATTTTTAATAATACCCCAAACATGATCGAATTTCCATCCAGATCCCCATTTAGAATCTTCTTTGAACAACACTTTTGCTTTGAGCATCTACAATTTTTCATAAACAATTAACCATAACTAATATAAATAATAAATTTAATAAACAATAAATACAATCAGATTTTATTACTCAACGTATCTTCATTCGATGCACCACTCTGATGCATATCTTCTACTGCTTTAATGCATGCATGGAGTCTTTTGGCTGCTTTTTCGATTGTTTGAATTCGTGCTTGCAGAGATCTCTTGGTACGAACCTCCCAATTCTCAAGCCGTCCTTCATTGAAAGCATTTTCAACACGAGACCAAAATCGATCAGATGATTGGTATACCCCAATAATTGGGTCCTGAGAAATATCCATATAAACTTGACATAA